TTAGATCAGCCCAGAGGTTGTTTCAGGGTTCGATCTGTGAGTTAGCCATGCCCTGACTTAGATTTTTTGTATTTTTCCTTTTTGTTCCTTTTTTCCCCTAATTTCCCTGCAGAAAGGGGCGAAGTTTAGTTTCAAAAAACTGACATATTTATTTTCAGTGCGTGAGGCTCTTACAAAGCACTTGAGAAAGAATGTGAGTTAAAGTCATATAGATATTATTACCTACTGAAAAATAATAGCCAACTATTGTGGAAACCTTGGTAACACCTTACGAACATAAATAAACTGTCATTTTGTGATCTTTATATTTGTGCAGGTCATGGCTTGCTGTAATTTTATATCTACGCATATTTATTTATTCATTATTTTATTTTAGTTATTTCGCATTTTCTTTCTTTCTTTCTTTCGGCTTTCTTTCTTTCTTTCTCCTTTCTCGTTCTCTTTTAGTCTTTCTTCTTTTTCTTTCCTTACTCCATCCTTCATTTAAGCCTTTCTTTCTTTCTTTCCTTTTTTCTTATATGTTTTCTTTTCACTCCTTTCTATTTTTCTTTCCTTCCTTTGTCACTTTCTTCATTTTTTTTGTTAGTTTTTGGATTGCCTCTCAGCTATATGGTTTCACCTCTATTCTTATCTTCAATTTCATTTTTCCCCCATCTCTTTTCCTTTTTATCGTTGTTAATCGTTTATATATTGCTTTAAGAAGCTTAACACTGTAGCGAAAAGTCGATGACTTTTTTATGGAAAGTTCATTGACTATTTGGTCTAGAACCACAAGTGCTCACTTTAAACTATCACAGCCCACGTAGAGAAAAAATTGCCAAAACAAAGAATAAATCTACTCTTGAAAAAGGCAAAAAAAAATCAAGCGTAGCAAAGCAGTGCGTAGTGCGCTCGTCTATCATCTCTAGGGTCATATGAGTAGACTTTGTTAGCTCTCTCACTTTTTTTTTTTTTTTCCCCGAGTTCTCTGGTTTTCCTCGCTGCTCAAAGCTGTGCCAAACCTAACGAGTTAAATTCCGTTTGAATCTATGAGTTAGGCATGCCCTGATTTTGATCAACACAGAGGTTGTTTCACGATATCGATAAATTTATATGTTTTGAACTAATTTTTGGCCGCAATAGTCAGTGCGTTTTCTATAATCCACAAAATCTCGACCTTCAATATTCAGTTTTCTAAACATTCAGACATTAATCAACACTTGTTTACTTGGTTTTGACACGCGAGAGATGCAAAGTAAATAATCATAATTATCTTTTGTGGCTATTAAACCAAATATCGATAAAAATTACAATTATCTTTGAATAGTTTTCCTTGATTCTTGCACCTTTTTGACTTGTTTTACACTTTTATATTGAAACTCTTGTTCATTAAGAAAAACTCTTTATAGATATTATGATAATTGATTTCTTTTTACTATTGTCAATTAAAATCAGTAGAAAGATAACTGCTCGTCTTGATGGTATTTGTTTATTATTTCATTTACGAATTCCACAAARTATTAATAAAAGAAGATTTTATAAATGATGACTATTATTCCGAGTTTTATATTTGAAATGTTTACGCGATAATATTAAACTGGTCTAATGTTTTCTTAATCTTTGCCCTTAGAGATAGCCGACCCGGGGAATCCAATCAATCTGCTTAGAGAAAGAAAACACAGAGACAAAAGCTGCTTGGAAATCTAGTGACAGTTCTTGATTGCCAAGGCAAGACTTATGCGAATAATCTCAAGGCTGCAACGAATTGTCCTCTTTACGAAGTATAACTGAAAGGAAAGAAAGCTCACTTCTGAAGTTGGTGAATTTCAAGTCAATGTCAATGCAAAGCCGGTGAACAACTTACCGAGAATTCAATCACAAAATCGATGAGATGGATTCAAAGTTTAAAGCTTAATTAGACTTTAAGTAAGTGCTACAGGGATTAAGTACATGAAATATTCATAGCCTTAAAAGACAGCTCGTGTTGTGTTTTACATCAGAAGCCCTCGGCATTGTTTGGTAAACAGCGACGCAATGCATTGATCCTTATCGCACGTCACTTTAGAAACCATCAACATGTAATACCCGAGTCAAAGATGGCATGAAAACAGCTTCAAGATTACTACAAGGTTAATGATCATGTTGGATTACAAAGCCATAAGATCAGTACAGCGGATGATAAGACCTATGTTTCTATGTCTGTACATCATAGTTGTATTTGGTAATGTCGTCAAGGGAGAGAATGTAACACTAGGAATCACCGTACCATTTTTTTCGCCCGGACAAATCTCAGCGATACCTTCAGGAGAGTACTACACTGCTGCTGCGTTCCTCGCTCAAACCAAAGTGAATGATGAACACCCGCTCTTTAGTGGAAAAAAGCTCCAAATCGATCTCGTTGAGACACCAAACTGTGCGGTCACACGGACGTTAGAGGGTTTCACTTCTCAGTGGAAATCTGGAGTTGATGGGTTCGTTGGGACGGGATGTTCATGTGAAACATCTGCCGAGTTGTCAGGAGTCTTTAACTTGCCTCTTGTGTCTCAAGTAAGTATATGAGATTATATTTGTTACTTTATACTCAATCTCAATTCCCATCGAGCTCGTTACGGGGTCTCACTATAGTTTCTTAGGAACTCAGGTGAACTTTCCGATCTCTGATCACACTAGAGCAACAGAAAGTTTTTAACTCTTGCCTCTTGTATCTCAAGTAAGAAGATGAACTACCTTTGATATTCGTTACTGTAGAGTTTAGTCTCCATTCCTATCGAGCTCGCTACGGGACCCTTGTAAATAACATACCACTTACTCGAGTATCTTAGGAACTCAGGTGAATTTCCCTAACCTGGTTGAAGCCACTAGCTCAAACTAGGCTATTGCTCCAGAAATGCTACTTTGTAGATTATAGCTTATTGTTAGTAAATAAGAAGTTTAGTGGCGAGTGCTATGAACGTCTGGTCCTGTTCCTGTGCCGGCGCCAGCATCAGATAATGAGTGCAATTAAGTATGTTTTAATTGATTGCAACTTTCTTGTACACTTGATTCGTTTAATGAAGGAAGACAGACGCTATAAATGGTATATTTAGCCACAAGAAGGTAATGATTCTTACTATGAATTATATGCTCATGAATGATTAAAAATACTGAAGTTTCGTGGTGAACGAAGTATTTTGTAGTTTAGTTTATGATTTATCATTAACACTACAATTATGATTGAGCCCTCTTAGCACACGAAGCTACACGATAACTCGTATCTTAAAGTTGCTTACGATCTTTGATCTCTAATCTATACTATGGCAAAGAACGAGGAAAGCGCTATAGAAAACGCAGTTGAACACTGAACACTTTCATTTCATTAAGTCGGCCCGCTAAAGTTGAATACAAACCAATTACATGCTTAGTGTTAATGTACTAAAGAACTCATCTATGAATAATTATAGTATTTATAGAGTTAGTTGAATAGAAAATAAATGTTTAAGATTCAATCAAGCACTTGAGTTGCTTTTGATAGAAAAATAAAATTTTAAAAAAAATTGCGTATCGAATGAAAAAAGGAAAGTAGCTTGTTCATGTTGCTAAAATTTAAAATTCTTGTACAAAATTGGAGAAGTGATTTTTCGATTTGGTTGCTACGCTTTACGAATGACTTTGAAGTATGTGGCTTTAAAATTCAAACTAGAAACTTAACCACAATAACAGCTCAAAAATGCTAACAAATTGATAACGTTAAAAATGGCGTCTTCTGAGATTTCATTTACCAAAAAAACTGATCTTATGAAATTCTAATTTATAGTTTTTTGTTTAAAAATTTGCCGGTGATGAATTCAAACGTCAACTAAAGAGTAGTTTTTGAAATGAATCTGCCATCGCTCATGTCCTAGTCTGTTGAAAGTGTTTCCTCAATACGACTTCTTCTGTCGTACTTTTGACTGTTCTCTTCTTTCTTGCCTTTCACTTTTGAGTTCACCCAATCAATTAATTACGATGTAACTAATAACTAGTGTTATTAATTATTATTAGGCATTATTAATCTATAGCTGCAGTGAAATCATAAATGTTTGCTTCAGTTCTCACTGCTCGAAAATAACCAAAGTTCTACGTGTTGTTCAATTCCATTTCCCGTGTGGTCGAGGGAATCATTGTTCAATACAATACGGTTGTTTTTTTTAACAGTTTACGTAGGAAGAACTCGTAGCTTGGAGATTAATCCTTATATTTACTGACAGGAAAGAACCATATCTCGGTAAAAATTATCGTACACTTATACAAATACCACTGAATATAAGCCGACCCTTCAAGGTCCTTCCAGTCTAAAGAAAAAAGTACCATAGTTTGTTAACATATTATAATCCAGTATAAAAAATAACCGCAGTTCATATTTTCAAACGGCTTTTTTTTTGTTATAGCTACATTCAGTGTTAATATCTTAGACTGAAATTTCTGGGGATCTCAACTTGAAACAGGCAACTTAAAAGGTTTTCTAATTAAATATCAATTTCCTTATCAGAATCAACAGCCAATCAAAACCCCTTTTTCTTTTCAACATGGAAACTTGCCTACAGAAGACCAGAGAAACATGTCGACAGCCATGACATGAAATTACTGTAATCCATTAATCACTAAGGATGATTTACGTCCTCGAAAGTTTATTCTTTTAGAAGAAGAAAAAGAGCAATATTGTGGTTTTCGCAAGTGAAGTGGACCAATATTTTGACAAAGACAAACTCTTAAAGATGTTTTGAAGTGTCGTACGGTAAAGGTGCCCACCTAATTTCCTTCAACATCGATCGTTATCTTCTAGGGAAAAAATAGAGTGTTTTTAATTTCACTTACAGTGTAATGATTTTTTTTAACAACAAAAGATAAAAATGCCCTTCCAGACAGAAATGTTTTTCAAAATGTTTTTTCAGATGTTTTGAAGTGTCGTGCGGTAAAGATGCCCATCTGTAATCTTTCAACATCGTTGATTTTCCAAAAAAAAAGTAGAGTTCAATTTAATTTTACTTAATAATTTTTTCAACAAAAAAAAGATAAAAACACTCTTTCAGACATAAAGGTTTTTCAAAACCAGTTTTTGTTATCTATGACAATAGAAATCCATCTTTTCAAACTTGCTGTCATGGGAATAGACCGGGTCTGTATTGAAATGGTTTAGAGTTGACTCGATTTGTTTGTTCCCTTGAGATGTTGTACTTTAGTAGAATCGTCGGTAATTCTAACTGTAAAAACATCAATATGTTTTTTAAAATTGATTTACACAATGTGGATGTCGTCTAGCAATTCAATATAAAGTGTTTTTTTTTTAAGCGAGGACATCAAATATGACAATATTTTGATGATAGTTAAACCTAGACCTTAAGAAGGATTACTGGGGTGCCGAGAACCCCCTTTGAAGAAATGGAGTAATAAATAAAAAACACCTGGCTTTAACCTGTTTTTAATCTCTTTGATTTATTGTATTTTTGCTCCACTCAAGGGTGAATTTAGCACTTTGGGATGTCCTACGCTTTATAATCTTACTTCACAATAAAACCATTCTCTATTGACTTTTGAAGATCATTTTTTGAGCGGGACGTATTTTGATAGACATCCTATCAAGTAGAGTGGGGCCAGTTCTGACAGAACTTCGTAAAGTCTGAATGAAACGATCAAAATATGTTTGACTTTATGGAAATATGAAACTCAGTAATAAAAATATGACTCATGACTCCTTACATTACTAAAACCATATTTTTATTCCTTCCTTCCTTTCTTTTCTTTTTATCATTTTTCTCTTTCTTCCTTCCTTCCTTCCTTCTTTTATATCATATTTTATTGCATATATTTTTGATTGTTGAAGTTTGTTTGTTGGTGTTTGTTGCTTGTTATTATTTGCATTATTATTACTGTTCGTTTTTATTTATTAACGTTTTGTTTGTTACATTTGCTTCAATTACTTYAGTTCCTACATTAATTGCCCTAAAAATATTCTGTTGTTGTTATAATGAATAAGCTATTGCCTTAATAAGAGACCTCTCTTTAAACTTAGATATGCAAAGATGCAACATTATCAGACAAATCCAAATATCCAACCTTCGTAAGAACAATCCCAGCAAACAACAAGCTAACAGGTCCTGTTTTAAAACTCTTGCAACATTACAACTGGACGAGGACTGGACTTGTAATGGAGGACAGTAAGGAATGGACGGAAAGAGGAGAGGAAATCAAGAAGGTGTTGAATGCTAGTGGAGTAACGGTGAAGATAACGAGAAATATTCCCTCTGCAGAGGAATATCAAACGAATAGCAGTGGAGAATATTTTGAGAAACTTATTAGAGATGTACAAGAAATCAGTAGAGGTAATGTGACAGACTTGGTCGAAGAAATAACCACCATCATCATTAGATTACGTCCTCATAAGTTATTGATATCATTAGAATAATGATTATTTATCACTATTGTTATCATCAACAACAACATCATCATCATTACAATGACATTAGCAACAGCATTATCATCTTCACCACCATTATCATATTCATAATCATCATCATCTCACCATCATCGCCGTCAACATCGCGTCATCATCTTTACTACTATTATCACCATCGTGATCATCATCATCATCATCCATATCRCCCGCTTTACCTTTACCATCACCATCATCACAATTATCACCATTATCACCATCGTCACCACCATCATCACCATCATCATCACCATCACCATCATCACTATGACCATGATAATTATCATGATATCATGATAATTATCAGCACAATAGTCATGGTCATCATCATCATAACCATCATCACCATCGTCATCATCATCATCATCATCATCATCGCCATCACTATCACCATCACCATCATCATCGCCATCACTATCACCATCACCATCATCACCATCACCATCACCATCACCATCACCATCACCATCATCAACATCATCATCATCATATAATACATGATCACTAAACCCTTATCTTTCTTTGTTCACAGTAATAATCCTGGCCATGGACTACAGACTAGCCCGTGAAGCATTATTCTATGCTGGTCAGCTCGATATAAACAAGGCTTCAGAATATTCCTTCATCATTTTTGCACTTGATGCTAAGACAGTCTGGGAAAACACAGCCTCGCCAAGCAAGTGGCTTGAATCAAAATACAGTGGAAGGACAGAGAACATTACTGACACGATGAAATATGCTTTTGAATCGTCACTGCTTGTTGCAATGAACCCGGCACGGACACCTACATATCAAGCATTTGTGAACAACTTGAAGAAAATGACAAACGATGCTCCTGTTAGCAGTAATGTTTATGAAGGCGCTGGCAGCTCAAATGAGGTGAATATCATCATCATCTTCTCTTCTCCTCCCTCATTATCATTATTATCATCCTCATCACCACCTTCCTCCTCCTCCTCCTCAACATCCTCCTCATCACCACCACCACCACCACCACCACCATCGTCATCTTCTTCTTGTTGTTTTTCTTCTCCTGACACTACATCATCATTATTTTCGTCCTTTTCATCTTCTTTTTCTTCGACAACATCAGGTATCATCATTATTTTCATCATCACCACCTTCTTATTCCTCAACGTCATCATCATCATCATTTTCGTTCTCTTCGTGACTTGGGCAATAAAAACTTTGACACGATGAAATTTCACTCCCTCATGTTCATCTCAATGCCTTGTTGAATGAGATTCTGGTTGTTTCAGCCTCCCATTTTAGGCGCCTATTTATACGACGCAGTGTTCCAATTGGCAGTGGCATTAAATAAAACTATTTCTTCATCTGGTCATCAGAAGAATGGAACCTTTGTCACTTCGTTGATGAGAGGACGTCGCTACCAAAGTAAGTACACGACCAGATTTCTCCAGTATTGTTGGGTTTTTTCAGCTGATAAAAGTCTTTGAATCTCATTATCTGCTCCAAACTTTGGTCAAACACTGACCACCATGTGCTGTCAGTCAGAAAGAAGGCTATTGAAATCTCGATTTCACTGATTGATGAACATTCTGCACGCGAGAAGGAAATGACGTCAAGTTAAACCCAGCAATAGCACTTAGTTTGCGATGTTGATAAACTGTGACTAAGCTAACATCCTTGCTTTTAAATCGTCCTTGCTTTGCGAGCCCGTGATTACAGCAAACATATGCATCGAAGCGAGACGAACGGTGAGCTTGCAATGATAGAGACGTGAATAAAAAAAGGTGTTAAAAAAAGGTCTCTATCATTGCAAGCTCACCGTTCGTCTCGCTTCGATGCAAAGGCCCGGCTACCTTTCAAGATGGCGCAGGGAACAGTGAAGGGGACTATTCCTTGGCAGAGCGTGAAAACCATATGCGCCTTAGTCTTGGGCAAACTTCAAGGGCATTCTCTGTAGAGTTACGTTTCTGCTATCATTTAAATCCATTTGATATAACTTTTTCTTACTCCAGGTATTCTTGGATACGAGCGATACATTGATCAAAAAGGCGACGCCAATTTTGACCTCATCCTTATGGAATTCGACTTTCACAACGGTATGACATGCATTCAAAACTGACCCTTACACAGGTCAATACTAAAGTAATTTAACAATCTTGTTTTTCTCATAAAAGGTAATTTCACTGATGTTGGAAAATTCGAGAACGACAATGCCGGAAATGACGTGCTGAAAATGACTGGTTCACCGAGATGGCCTGGTAACAAAGGTCCGCCTGAGGATATACCAAAATGTGGATTCTATGGTGAAATGTGTCGGAAAAGTAAGATGATGTTTGATGTATACTACAGGTTTTTTTTAATAGAAACAAAGTAAAGAATGGATAATACACACATATACTCACTTATACCTACCTACTCTCACACTTTACAGATGTACGAACGTATGTACGCACAAATGCACTCACTTTCGCCCACACACTCATTCGGGAACGCGCGCACGCGCGCTCACACCAAGCTAACCACTTGGCCGTCACGATTTGTCTCGCTCCCGCACTCACGCACCTATTCACCCAACCCACTTATTCGTTGGTTCATACTCGCTCGTACGCACTCGCTCAACCATCAACCAAGCAGTGAATCTTAAAGAGGAATGTTTAAATGTCTTTTTAGTGTTGTTAATTCGCCAGAAAGGAATCTTATGAACCAACCAAGACTTTTTCCGACCATCTTAACTGATGCACATAAAGATTAAAGTGGTCCAACTCTGAGTGAATTCAATGTATATTTTTTCAGGTAAAAACATTACGATAGGACTTCTCCTTCCCTACCTATCAGCCTATGGATATGGTGATTCCTATTCGGCTGGRAAGTACTCCGCTCCGGCCATAACGGTTGCTCTGGATCGAATCAACAAAGACCCTGATCTTCTACCCAACCATCACATTAACTTTGTCTGGCAGGACACGAAGTGCAACGAAGAAATGTCAATCAGTCAAATGACCGAGTTCGTGGAACAGAGAGTCGACGCATTTATTGGTTTTGCCTGTACCTGTAACACTCAGGCAAGAATAGCGGCTTCACTTAACAAGATGCTCATTTCACCCGTGAGTGTTTTTAAATTACCAAACTCAAAAAACTATTTCATTATCCAACGGAAAAGGTCACGTGACCCTATGATGATATCTCAAGATTTAACAAACGTTTGGCATTAAACAAACAAATTAAACTTCAATTTTATCAATAAAACGAAACAACCTCTAGGCTAATCTAAGTCAGGGCACGACTAACTCACAGATCGATCGAATCCTGAAACAGCCCGCTCTGGGCTGATCTAAGTCAGGGCACGTTAGCTATAGAGTTATCTTATCTTATCTTATCTTGCAGTACATCGGAATGCAGCTCAATTTGGAGGACATAGCAATACGTTTCCAATTATCAGAAGATTGAAATTGTTTTGTTTTGTCCTCCAAATTGAGCTACTTTGACGTCACATGCAAGGGGTTTATTCAACAGCTGACACAGTGTTCACGTGATCAGGCAAAAGAAATAATCACGTGATCTGTCATAACTTATGTAAATAAGCAACTTACCAAATCTAACGTCATCTTGTTCTTCAGTACTGCACCAGTAGTGATGTATCAGACAAGCAGCTTTACCCAACGTTTGTTCGCACCATCCCTGACGACGGTTCTCTAGGCCCCTCAGTGGTCGCCATTTTGGATTATTTCAATTGGAATGAAGTCGGCTTGATGAGCGAGGAGAAGCAAACGTGGAACACCCGAGCACAGTTCATTGAAAACTACCTGAAACAAAGCGGCAAGAAGGTTAACATTCACGAGTTGACTCCTACAGAATTATCATATGATCCTGTTAAGGATGAGTCGACGATCAAGAATTTACTTGAAAAAATGAAAACTCGATCCAGAAGTAAGTATGAGCTCAGTCTCTTCCAAGTCCATTTACTTACACAGGAAGCCCATTCTACCTGCAGGATTCCGGTTGTGGGATTCTGGATTCGAAAGGATTGTCTTAAGTCGTAAAATACGTAAAATACAGTAATCTATTCTTTTATTATAAACTCTTTTACTCAGGGGTAGCCTCATTCAGTATTCACTTTTACAGTTCTTTGCGCCATTTTGAAAGGTAGCCGTGCCTTTGCATCGAAGCGAGACGAACGGTGAGCTTGCAATGATAGAGACCTTTTATTAACACCTTGGACAATTATTCACATGTCTCTATCAACGGCTACCTTTGGAGATGACGCAGGGAACTGTGAAACGAATTACTGTAAAAAAAATATTCACAAATACCAACAGTGAATTAAAAAAATGCACAACTTCAAGCTACAATACGAACACCTTGGAATTCCACGGACCTTAACTGGAACACGTGAATATTCTACACAAAATCRAAGCTAACCCTGTATTTCCTTCCATGGGGAGGGCGCAGGACATGGTTTTTAATATCGTTTTTGCACTTATATTCCAGTTATAATCCTGGCCATGAAGTACAGCTTAGCACGAGAAGTCCTTTATTTCGCTGCTCAAACTGGAATGGTCTCGGGCGACTACGTGTTTATAGCATTCGAACTCTCGATGGACGAGCTAAGAAATAAAATCAAAGACCAAACAAAATGGTTCAACTCTCTACATGTAGAAACACAGATTAATTTCACAGTCAATTTCAAAGATATGTTCAAATCTGTTCTCGTATTGTCAGTGAACTTTCCTGGCTCCAAAGAATATGAAGAGTTTGATAAACAAGTGAAGATCAAAGCGCCTGAAGCTCCATTCTATAGTAACATGTATAAAGGCTTTACTTGTATTCCCAATCTTGGCTTGGTTGATAGGTCTAAGACACCAGTAAGTAAGCTGCGTTTAGGGTACGTTTATTTTTTTTAGGGGAGGGGGAGCGGTTGGATTTGCATGGTACCCCACAAGAAATCTGACCCCCTACCCCTCCCCCTTCTTTGTTGCATAAAAATTTCCATTGTTTTCCATTCTGTTTATGATAAAAGTGCTTTGTGACTCGGCATGGCTGCCATTTTGGATGACATAAAAATGGCCACCATATTGGATGATATAACAATCGTCATCGCCGCCATTTTGGATGACATAGCAAAACACACGGTAACCATGTTTGATGACATAACAAAACAAATGGCGGTCACGTTGAATTACATAGCTAAAGACACGTACACCATGTTGGATGGCGTAACAATAGACATCACCGTCATGCAGGATGACACCGCCAAAGACATGGCCGCCATGCTGGATGACAACACCAAATACATGGCCGCCATGCTGGATGACACAACGAAATACATGGCCGCCATGTTGGATGATATATCAATATTTTCTGTTATTTTTTTTCTTCTTCAAAGGTTCCAATCTTTAGTTCATATATATACGATGCTACAAGGATCTACGCATTGGGCGTCAACAGGACTATCAACAATGGTTCCGACTACGGAAATGGACGAGAAGTAGCTGAAAAATTACTCAACAGAAAATATCGCAGTAAGACTAACAATGAATCACTCATCTGTCATTTTTAACATAATATTTCTGACTGACTTCTTAATATTGCTGGAATTCACCTCTAGATTTTGGCAGAGTAGAGTTTACCTCGTTGGCCCTTTTTGTTATGTACATTGTCACGTGGTTAAGTTAGCGAGGTTACAAGTTATCACGTGGTCACAACTTTCCCGCCGTTTAGCAGAGGCGTGATTTCCTTTCAACATGGCTAACGCTTCAAATATTTTTAGAGGATTTTTAGTAAGGAAAAGTTGCGTAATTAAGCGTAGTAAATATAAATAGCATAACAAAACGTTTTACTATTGTTTCGCAGGCGTCATTGGGACAGATATTAAAATGACCAAACATGGTAATGTGGAGTACAACCTGACGCTACTGGACTACAGGGAGAATGGTAGGTCACCTTAATGAATCATGAAACCTCTGGACTGATCTAAGTCACGCAATGGCTAACTCACAGATAGAACCCTGAAATATCCTCTGGGCTGATCTAAGTCACGGCATGGCTAACTCACAGATAGAACCCTGAAATAACCTCTGGGCTGATCTAAGTCAGGGCACGGCTAACTCACAGATAGAACCCTGAAATAACCTCTGGGCTGATCTAAGTCAGGGCACGGCTAACTCACAGATAGAACCTTGAAACAACCTCTGGGCTGATCTAAGTCAGGGCATGGCTAACTCACAGATAGAACCTTGAAACAACCTCTGGGCTGATCTAAGTCAGGGCATGGCTAACTCACAGATCGAATCCTGAAAAAACCTCTGGGCTGTCCAAAAATGCATCTTATGTCATACCCTCTAATTATTCCACTAACGTTTTACCTCCTTTTCATGAAGGTACAGAAATGATGATGGAAAGAGTTGGAATTTTCCACATAACAGAATACGGGAATGCAACACAGCTTTTCGTGTTGGATCCCAACAAGACTATTAAATGGTTAGGAGGAAGGACAGTTCCACTGGATGTTCCCGTTTGCGGGTTCGATGGAGAATTCTGTATCGACGACAGATTTAAATTCAGTAAGCTGATTATAACACTTTGTCAGGTTTCGAGTAAATAAAATGAATACATTTTGCTTAATTTATGATGGTAGCCCTTAAAAGTCAGGCCGGTGGTTGATCAATCGGTAGCCAAAATTGAAATTTTGAAGTTGAAAGGGAGGGAGCCGTTTGAAAATGGGGATCTGAAGTTGTCACTGAAATGCTGGTGAGCAAGCTGACTGACACTAAAAGTTTACCAATTAACGGTCATTTTTTTCTTGTTTAGGTATAATTGAGATCGTATGCATCGTACTGGCATCTCTAGTTATTTTACTTCTGATAATCGGATTTATCATCTATAGGTAAGTCAAATCCACAACTTTATGAAGCGAAATTTAAACCAGTGATTACGCTCCAAGGACGCCATCTTGAAAAATTCGCAACCATGGGTATTTACTAAACCGAGGAGTCGATATTGAGCTGCAGCTATTTGCACTTGGAGGAAACTTACATAATTATGTCAATACAAACTCAAACAAGCTGTTATTCGAGGGCTTGTTTGCATAGTAAAAAAAAGAAATTTAAAAACGAGCTTTTTGAGCTGTTTTTAAGCTGTTTCCGATTAACCTTGCGCTGCCATTTATGATAGCCTAATTTACAGATTCGATATTTTACGCAAAAAATTCGAGCCTGTCAAGCAGGCTACCATTTATGAGTGAACGGAATGATCAACCTTTTTCGTGTTGATGCAATATTTTCCCATTTCAGGCCACGTGTCATTCCCTTGAGTACCATTTCTTTGTTTAACGTTGTACATGAAAAGACACATGAATATGGATACTATTCAAACAAACTATCTTGTCTCAAAAGAATGACGCGTGGTCTGAAATGGAAAACATTACACACAAACGAATAAATCCTCTATGGACGTAAGGTTTTGCTCATTTCACTAGAGTATTATTTCTTTGTTTAACGGTTATGCACAAGGAGACCAAGAATATGGATACAACCCAATCAAAGTATATTATCTCAAGAGAATGACACGTAGTCTGAAATAGGAAACATTACGCCCAAACGAATAAGCCCTCTTTGAACAAGCTGACTTATCGATATCGACTGATTAATCCATTTTTTCTTCTCCATGACAGAAAACAGAAAATCGAGCGAGAGCTTGCAAGTGAACTGTGGCGGGTAGATTACAATGACGTCATCATTAGATCGAAAAGACACGCGGGGTCGTTACGAAGTCAAGTAAGCAAAGATTCCATGTTCTTTTTCTTTTTTTCTTTATATATTTTCCTTATTTTTTCTTCTCCTAAAACTTCTCTCGTGCTCTGAAAATTCCCACGTGCTTTATAACTGCATAGAGGACGCGCGCGCCTTTTCTCTTTCTTTAATTTTTTTAGAGTTTGATTTTCTCTTTCCAAAATGGCCGACACATGAGAGAGTGGTTTCACGGGAGCCATGTTGTTTGGCAAAATATATGGCAAAATATTATCATTGGGAAATTAAACTACATGTCACGGTTCTGTACGATACAATACAAGATGGCTGCCGCAAATCACTTAAGTCTGCGATTTTCTATATTTTTCAGGTCAGTTTGCTATCAACAGACAGTTTCGATAACATAAACCAAAAACAGCTTTTCACTATGGTGGGCACGCACAAGGTGAGTTACCGCTGACTGGTAATGATTTTTGTTGGTGGCTCAGTCACATATACATATATTTGTATTCTGCTTTTTTTTCTGAAGGCCCATACCGTTGCAATCAAGAGAATCAACAAGAGCAACATTGATTTGACTCGAGAAATTAGAATGGAACTAAACTTGGTAAGTTTCTGATTTTTATTGTCATCAGTAATGTGACTGTTAATCAGTAACTAACGGTATTCCCCTTACTAAATTTGAATGGAAGACTGGTAACGACCAAGTCACGCAAAGGATTGTGTGACCAAAAGTAACGCCATCTGTCCTCCCCATTCAGCCCGAAAATTCGGTGCGAGATCGACGGTATTCCCCTTGCTGAATATGAAAGAACAAATGGTAAAGATCTAGTCATGCAAAGGATTGTGTGACGAAAAGTAACGCCATCTTTTCTCTCCGCTAAGCAGCATGATCCTGTGCGAGGCCATTACGATTCCTTGCTTCATAATCGGGAAAGACTAATTTGCATAAAGAGCGCCCACTTTTTTGTCTCTTTAACGTTTAAATAATAGTTATCCTCCCTATCTTGCCACATCGAACTGGGTCAATAACCTTCTATATTCAGGTACATGCATAATTATTTATCAATTATTAATTATAATTATTTCCCCTAGATGCGTAATACAAGACATGAGAATTTGACACCATTCTTGGGCGCATGCGTCGATCCGCCAAATATTTGCATTCTTGAGCTATATTGTCCAAAAGGAAGCCTTCAGGTATGTCGACCTTTATACTTATATATTTTAGTAAAATGATACTAAATATATGCTATTGTGACTAATTATAATTAATAACTGTCTATTATAATCTTGGGGTGCATGTGACGTCAAAGCCGTCATGTTGCTTAACTTGGACAACATTCGTGTCACACTTACCTTTAGCGATATACCTATATCATGATGCTAGTTGATATGTGATACATTTTTTATATATATATTATATATATTATATATAATGTTAATAGCACCTTTTTCGTGTTTTTAAGGATATTCTTGAAAACGAAGACGTGAAACTTGACAGCATGTTTATTTCCTCTCTATTGAATGACATCGTCAAGGTAACCTTTGCTAAAAATATCTCAGAAAAACTCTAATGATCAACAGACCCTTTGAATAAATGTACTAATCATATGCAGAAAAGTACTAAGCCTCGCAATGACGCAATGAAACAATGGTTCATCAAACACATCTTTTGTTTTCATGCACACGAGGGAGGCTTATGGTTTCGAAAAATCTCAAAAATACAAAAGTGCAATAGTTAGATAGGCTTATTTCTTCAAAAAAAATTATATTTTAAACTATTAACCAATGCCTAAGGCCGTTTGTTTTTATCGTATAGAAATTTTCTATTTAAATTTTTGTATTCAAAATGTTTTCCCCAGAAATCTTTGATCAAATTTTCGTATTAGATGCCAAGTTTTTTTCTTGAACAATTTGGCGCATGCGCATACGTTTTTCAGCCCTGTCGCGTAGTTATTGACTGTCAAGTTCATTTGATTCTTGTGTAGGGGATGATATTTCTGCACAGTTTCGTGTTAGATGCCAAGTTTATTTTCTTGAACAAGTTGGCGCATGCGCATACGTTTTTCAGCTCTGTCGCGTAGTTATTGACTGTCAAGTTCATTTGATTCTCGTGTAGGGGATGATATTTCTGCACAGTTCAGAAATCCGGTCACATGGTCGATTAAAATCATCCAACTGTGTCGTGGATGGCAGATGGGTGTTGAAAATATGTGACTATGGCCTGGTCAAGTTTAAGTCGAACAAGGAAGACCGAGAGGACCTGGGTGAATACGCGCAATACTATCGTAAGTATGAACCATGAGGATTTGTACTCTCATGGATTACTCCGTACGACAGGAGTCCATGACGTAATGTTCTTATATATAACTGGCTTTCACCTTTTAGAACACGCTCGACCCCAGAACCCTGATAATAGTAGTTCGCGACCTCCATAATTACTCCACCATTGCACATGCGTAGTATTATAAAACTCGGAACCACACGCCACAGGTAACCCATCATTCTATCCCTTGACACATGTTGTTTTTCTAAACAGGAAAACTGTGGACAGCACCGGAACTGCTTCGTATGAAAAATCCCCCACCACAGGGTACACAGAAGGGCGATGTGTATAGCTTTGGTATAATACTACAAGAGTTGCTGACAAGATCAGGACCCTTTGATTTATCTTACTACCATATAGAACCTAAAGGTAACGTTTGATCAAAAGAATTGATCACGTGATGTATAAAACACGTGACTCATGAAGAATGACGTCACTAAGTAAACCTATCATATGCTCTTATTATAGAAATTAAAAGAAATGATCACGTGATGCATTAAACACGTGACATCATAAAGAATGACGTCACTAAGTAAACCTATTATACGTTATTATAGAAATCATCGAGGAAGTAACTAAAGGACAAGTTCCTTATTACCGACCCAAACTGAGCAACGTACTTGACGGCGTTGATTTGCCTGGGGTACGGGAGATGGCCGAGAAGTGCTGGAACGAGAATCCGGATGCCAGGCCTGAATTTGAGGAAATACGAAAACACGTGCGGAAACACTCGACAGGAAAGTGAGTAATACACAGTAACTGATACACACTGATATGTATTATTATAATGTTTATGTCAGCGGTCATGCTTAGAAAGCATGCGCATGCGCATTCTCATTTGAAATAATAAGACCTAGCGTCCTAGCGTGTGCTCAAGGTTAAGGCGTTCAAATTTCTGAGTCTTAATCGTCTTTGTTGCAGGACAACAAATATCATGGATAACATGGTAAACATGCTAGAAAAGTACGCGAATAATTTAGAGAGTTTGGTGGAAGAAAGAACCGCGCAGCTGGCAGAAGAGAAGAGAAAAACAGACAATCTACTACACAGAATGCTACCACCGTAAGTTTGTACTCACAGCTACTTACAGATAATCTACTACACAGAATGCTACCACCGTAAGTTTGTACTCATAGCTACTCACAGATAATCTACTACACAGAATGCTACCACCGTAA